GGGTGGCTCGGTGATGCGTGGCGGTAAACTTACTCAGGTGTGGCAGTACTGATGGGGTGTGGATGGGTAAACATGGGTGCCGAGGGTATAGAGGACCCATAGGCAGACTAAAGGAAGAACTGGGGCAGGGTGCCAAGGGTATAGATGACCCATAAGGCGACCTAAGAAGGGTTGAGGATGGGGCGCCAGATGTCACTGATGATGAAGCCTGTGTCTTGCGGAACCGTTCTGTTCTTGTGAATCTCAATTGCCTCACGAACACGGCGTGGATGTCATTGTTCTATATGTTGGCAATGAGATGGGCTTGTTGCCAGAGGACTTGGTGGTCTTCAGTGCTGGAGTGTTTGATGATGGCAGATTTCTCGAGATCCCCCCGTCGTCCGTGGGCTCGGTGTTCATTGAGTCTGGTAGTGAGATCTCTACCAGTCTCGCCGAAATACACCTTGCAGCATTCGCAGGGGATCCTGTAGACGCCTGGCTTGGCCTTGGGGTCTTGCTTGTCCTTGTGAGACTGGAGAGCTGCTTGGATCTTGTTGGGGGCGGTATGGAAGACTTTGATGCCATGGTGTAGAAGGATGCGCTGGATCCAGTGGGAGGTATTGCCTATGTAGGGGAGGGTGACAGAACTAATGTGCCTAATGGGTTAACCTTGGGTATAGGAGACCCGCTGGTCTGGAGGGGTCTGGGGTCCTGGGTCTTGATCTGTCTTGACTTGAACCCGTTCCGCTGTAGAGCTGTGAAGATGTGATGGAGTTCCGGTTTCAGGTGGTCTTGGTCGCAGATGTTGTATGCTCGACGCACGAGGGTTCTGTTGACGGAGGCCTTGATGCTGGAGTGGTGGAATGACCGGTTGTTCAGGTAGCGGTCGGTGTGTGTTGGCTTCCTATACACTGTGCGGGATAGGGTGCCATCTTGTAGACTTGAAACCTCGACATCCAAGAATGCAATGCGTCCATCTTGTTCCTTCTCCATGATGAACTGGATGTCGTTGTGTTGGCTGTTGAGGTGTTGAAGGAACAGCTGGAGGTCTTGCGGGCTGTGTGGCCAGACGACGAAAGTGTCGTCCACATACCGGATCCATACGCTGGGCTTGAGGTCCGCGGAGAAGAGGGCTGTCGGCTCAAATTCTTCCATGAACAGGTCTGCCAGAACCGGGGATAGAGGCGATCCCATGGAGGTTCCGGAAGACTGCTCGAAGAATTTGTCTCTTCACTGGGAGCAAGAAGATGATACGCAGCTGATCAGGAGATCGTCGATTTGATGTGGTGTGAGGTAACGTTGGTCCGGTCGCTGAGTGAGGGATCTTGAAGTAACCTATCCTTGGCGAGGGTGCATGCTTCGGATGTGGGTACATTAGTGAAGAGAGAGACCACATCGAAGCTGACCATTATGTCTGTGGGGCGTAGAGAAAACCCGTCGATGAACTGGGCGAACTGGTCCGAGTTTAATGGATATAACATTATATCACACACATAACTGCAATGTGTACACTTTTCTTAATTGCATTTTTTCTGTGAAATACTGAATCTTGTTATCTCATGTAGGCCTATCAGTCGGCATTTTGTCTACAAAGTAGGTATACTGAATAAGGCAGGGATTTTTACTCAGAACAACAATTTCAGAATCGTGATTTTAAAGTACAGCTGAAAACAGAATCGTCGAAATAAAACAAAACTTTATTCCGCAAACTATTATTGGGCCTGTTTTTCGTGCACTTTAATTCCAAAGATTGAAACTTGTAAGCCTGCTCAGTGGATTTAATTATACTGTCGACATTTTCGGAAAAATCAAATGACCAAGGCAGATTATCCAAACAATTGAAAGTGGCACGTCAAGACGCTTTGTAAAGACTCGGGGTTAATTGAAAAGTGGGATTTACCAGTTTAAGGACAGTTCCATTCTAACAACCCTAGAGTTGACCTACCCTTAGGGACTGACCTTTGGTAGCTTAGACATGAATATATAAACACCTGTTGCTGGAAAGTTGTTTTGCCTGTACAGTATTTACATTAATTTATAAAAGAACCCAAAATGAGGATAATTTCTTATATCGACAATTTTAAATACAATATAAATGAAGTGAAGAGCCTCAATGCCCGCCACCGTGTTGCATCTAGCGTCTCGCGTTGTAGTCGGCTTCTGTGGCCTGTGGCTGACTGTAAGTTTCTGTGTCCCGCCGCCGCGGTCCAACCCTTCCGTCACCACCGGTCAACCGACTCCCTCTTTCTTTTAACTTCAAACCCTGGAAATTACAACCATAATTCCGATTCTGGTCTTTCCGGCCAAGCTAAATCTGACGCTTATTATTAATTAATTAAAGACTTAAAGTGTTATCAAGTGTGTCAAACTTGCAAGATAACGATAGATTGTTTCAGTGCTGTAACGTCCTCGGCTCAAATTACTTAGACCTACTAGGACGTTATGCGAAATATCTCGGCAAAATCTCATTTTTACTGGCTCAAAAATCTGGTTTCGCAAGGAAAAAATGTGTAAAATAAAATATCCAATATATCACTGCATAGCTAACTTACAGGAACTGGGCGTTTCCTGGCTTTTCATTTCTCAGAACAGTCTGCACCTACAGTCATGTAGTTTATACACTTTTACAATCAGAGGTGACTCAATCGTCGACTCATGACTGTATGTCGTCGAGGCTGGCTGCTGCCCTCTCTTCAGAATCCAGCAATCAACTCATCACACTCAACTCATATCGTTTACTTTTAAACTCAAGGAAAAATTCATGCACTGCCACGCCTAATTCCAAAGAACCCAGAATTTTTGTGTACTACCCTTCATACATATTCATTATTCAAATCAATGCATAAGTGGCCACATCTACCAATGACAATTCAACTAGTGCCCAGCCCATCATTCTGGCAAGGTTGACTGACTCCAGGAATGTTTGGGTGTGGCGGCCCAAGAAAAAATAAAATCTTGTTTCATCACTAAAAACCATGTCTATGTTCGCCACAATATAGGGCCACGTCAAACCAAGATTGCACGGTATTATTAATTTGAAGAGTAATTTCGATCAGGTATCACTCCGTGACAACCATTGCTATGTGATATTTGGACGCCCCATAAAATATGTTATCCCTCACCAGGACTCCAAACCTTCCGTGTGCTGGGTGGGCTACTGTTGTTTTACGCATAATGACATGCGGCCGGTCAGTGAGTCTGTACTGTACTCTTAAAAGGTCTGTCTCATCTTACACCTCATTTTAAAACATCAACGTCAGACCTTTGTTAGAAAGCCCTCCTCTATAAAAGTCAGCGAGGATGTGGGAAAATGATTTATTTCGCCCACTTGAGTTCCCAGTCTCTGGGGGATGTAAATTGCTTTGAAAATGATGTTTGTAATTAGCCCAGCTTCATATAGATTGAAAAAGGTTTGAAGTCTCTCACAGCCCTGCCTCTTGCACATCCAGCGAGCACCTTTGCCCTCGTGCTCGAACCTTTCATGTCGAGATTTGTACCTGAAAATGCTATTGAACGGAAGACTGTCTTCACGTGCGCATTAGCTATCTCCGTGGACACCGTATGTACATTTTCATCACAGGACAGAGACACAGTTTCGCCACCCGTAGGCTCAGCGGGAATAACTTGAACGGATTGTCTGTTGTCGATAAAGCTCATTCATTAGTGAGGAATCCAACTGAGTGTTGCGATTTGAATGTCCTTCATGCAGTCTTTACATGACAGTAATAGAGGGCTGTCATGAATGCCTCAAAACGTTCGGGAAATTAGCAACAGTGTACCTCTGACGTGACATCTTCGCAGTTTTTAATACCTACGCGTACATATAATAAGTCAGTCGCTACACTAGAAGGACTATTGACTGGTAGTTTCGGGAGCATGACTGAGTATAATTGGGCTGAATAATCAGAGACAGAACTTTCAGTGTCTCTTTGGTCAAAATAGGTCTTATACGTAGACTAATCTTAGTGTCAAGAACACAATGGTAACTGTTGGTACGAAATGGGGTCTCTTGAAAACGACGTACATTGGAACGAATGCATGTCTTCTAACATCTCTCACATCAACAACACAATTGGCGTCGGAGAACGTTCTTTCCTTCTGCACTGGGCTGGCCCAATGGTTGTTATCGTAACTGGTTTAATTGTTAACTCGGCCTTCTTACTCGTCGTGTTTCGTCGCAAAGCCATGCGTAACACCACCAATGTTTATCTAGCCAATCTGGCCATTGCTGACATGGTTTTATTGACTATCTCCTGTTTTCAGTTTCTGACTGTTCATTCGTCATTCGCCACTCAAATCTCAGCATGCTTATTCATGGTGCTTGCAACTACGCCGTACTATTCGAGCATGCTGATCGTGACGCAGGTTGCAGTGGATCGGTTCTATACAATCTGCAAACCGATAAGGCACAGAGCCACATCAAGCATCCGGCGAAGCTTGAAACGTGTGGCTGTAGCCTGGTGTTGCAGCCTCATCTATAGCACCACCCTCTATCTGGAGCGGATCTTGGCTTCTAAACCCTGTCCGGCTTTTGTTGCAGACCCACTGCAGAGCTCCTCTGGCGGGCGCTGCGACCAGATGGGCGCGCTTGGACAGTACTCGGCTCTTAGCGACGTGTTTAAAGTCCTACCATTCGTCTTTTGTCTGGCACTGAACTGTTTGCTGTACGCTCGAATCGTGAAGACCCTAAGAGATCGGTTTGTGCTTCGCATTCATCGTCCCGGTCGGCAGGTACCTGAATGGATCAGGAAGATTCAACAGTCACGAGTCCAAATCACCAAGATGCTTGTCGTAAACAGCCTGGTGTTCTTCATCTGTAACACACCGAGGTGTATCACTCTGATCAGTGGTTACATCCACGATACCTTAGGTGTTACCCGCTGGGATGCCAACGAGAACATTGAAGTCTTTTCCGGCGTTCTTCTCGTCTTAAACTCTTGCATCAATCCAGTAATCTACAACTTGACCAACAAGAAATACAGACGGGCCTTCCGAGAGGTGTTCCTGCCTTGTTCCTCGTCTACGTCAAGCCAGAGAATGCCCACGGTTTTTCACCTCCAGATATCTTCTGACTGAGGATCGGTTGCATGGTGTTTGCACACCGTCGTGTTTCACTGTACAATGTATATATAATTGTATACCGCTATTTAGCATCCACTCACGACGCTAAATGAATGCCGGGTTATTTTACTCTCGTTTGATGCACTACGTTGAAATATTGGTGAATAGGTCCCGACACTGTACAATTTCTTCTTACCGTTTAAGCATTTTTCTTTAAGAGGTGTAGGCCTAAATAGCGTAACGTTAGAATCTAGCTGCAACTGGAGTTCATAGGTGTTGATGGCGCATGGCCATCTCTTAATTGTACCCCGATCTGGACTGAGAGAGCGCGAAGGCTTAGCAACGGAAGCTCCTATGGTAGGAACTACACTTTGATGGTTCACAAAGACTGTGGGAAGCATGTGTTGCGTGCCTGTCGCAATCAACGCACCAAATACTCCCGACTAGCATGGCTCTTATCCACCGACGAGGGTGCTTTTGCTCGAGGTGGATACACCAACTTTAAACCGCCCTCAAAAAGCCATTTTTTTTATAACAGATGTATTCGAAATGCATTTAAGAAATTATGTTAAGGTGAGAGATTTCTGAAGAAATTTATGATGAAGTATGTAAATTTGCATGAATATATGTTATGATCACTGATCCCAAGTAGTTGAATAACTACTGAATAAATCGCTTTAATGGTTAGACCGGCAGAAGTGCCTGTTTGCTGCCAGTCCGTATAGACAATGAACTACACGGGCGTAGGCCATACTATAGGTTCCATCAACGAAGTACGTTGTACTAGAGTCTCTCCTTGTATGTGTGGCTATGCGCGTTACAGGTTAGCGTTCATGTTCAATAATATGCGTGCATATTCATGCATATTTATCGACTTGTTGTATATAATGTGTTCGTATTCACAGTTTCTCATTATCATATAATTTATTACTGTTTTCCTTCAAGAAAGTGTGAGTTTAATTCATTTTCACTAGCTGTGAGTTAATAGCCACAGGTTTTTCACAAACTCTTTCAATCAAATTAAGATTGTCAAGGCGCGAAGGATTTTTAATCTTTGTAGTGTTTTCGGTTTTGTTAAAAGTCAATCTACTTGAAAATTTAACTGTTCGATTTAGATGTGCTACGGCTTTTATGAGTGGGTGTTCCGTATCTTTCTTTCACTATAATAAATGATCTTTTACCCATGAGGTTTAAATTATACATATTAACCACTGTCTTCATTTGAAATTTCCCGTTTATACTGTCATTGTGCAAACGCTGGTGTATACTTTAACCAAAAGCGAGCACAATCGCGAATTTGTGACATCAGTACTGCGAATTCACACTGAGAAGTTGAACACATTTCGATTAATCGAAAAGCGATTTCGCAACAAATGTTTCGTATCTTCATTTCCTTTTACAACAGCATTCGCCCGAAGTATGAACTGACCCTTAGACTGTTTTCATCGAAATCAGCTGAAATTAAGATCTTTGTTCTTCTTGTTTTTTTGCATGCAAAGGAACTATTTGAGCTTTTTGTAATTCTAACAATTCCAAAGAAAATGTTGACAAAAATATATAAACATTTAAGATATTGAAAACAATTGTTGTTTCCCTGTACATTTTAATTGAAATAATTATTTTTTGTTTTCTTTGCCAAGAAACTCCAATTTGATATGCATTTTCAAATACTACTAAGAAAAAGCATATGCCTATAGGATGACTGGTTTAATGGTGTTTACTTTTAAAGAACTTCGTATTTCCTTGCGCATCTGTCCATAACCTTTTATTATGCTCTAAATCTGGACGCAAAACGGAAGTGCGTTGATGAACGAAATGGTGGATGAACAGAAGGACTACTTGAGTTTGAATAAACTCAAAACGATAGCTTGAAAAATGACATCGAATGACGTTTTTGACGTTCGAATGCCGGTAATGATAAAGGAGCGTTCGATAAAAAACTCGTTTTGAAAGGGGCTCACATTGAACGACTGAAATTGTCAGTGAAAGTCTACAGTAGATTTTGAAACACTACAAATAATTATACGTAGGCTACGTATAATTAATTATTTGTAGCGTTTTCAAGATCGAAAATCCAAAGAGAGTAATACATCGTGGTTTCTTCGTAGGCCTTCAATTTATACTTTACCCACTGGATAGTCCAGCCCTGCTTGTTCGTTGTCCATAACAAACATATCACATCTTAAACATGTTAATCATCTTCATGATATGCTGTTCACAACGTGTCACTTTGGCTTTAATGCTATAATAAACAAGTTGGTTTAGGGTCCAGATTTACCCCTTCCTTTTTGCAATTGTCACTTCTAAAAACAACGTCTTAACAGTGATGGTTGGTCAAGGCTTCTGCTCCACATGTCCTCCCATCCACAATTCATAGACATCACAAAGCAAATATTCTTTAATAAAAGAAAACAGAGACAAGAGAATAAACGTCCTGATTGTCCTAAACTTAATTATTATATAGGTTAAAATATTAATGATGGGCTCATTTTTTCAACCATATCTTGTACCCTTCCACGCCGTGATGAACAAACTCTGAATCTTTTATTAGTCATCTTTCCCTAATCGGCATTCTTATTCTTTGACGGTTTAATAGTTTGCAACGTTTGGCATATCGTAAGATATGTCTTAAGCTGGATAGGGCCTTATGTCTGCCCCTAAGACGGAAAAAAGTTTTATCAGTAAACTTTCTTTACTCATATAGTCAAACATTGTTCGGAGTATACCATCAAAGTCCTTCGTGTCGGTCAAAAGCAGCCTACACAGATATTGACCTTACAACTCTTGATTATTATAATTAGCCGCAAGGTTATTCTCGTTCACACAACGTAGGAGCCTCGAGCTGGACCAACAAAATTCTGAACACCTGCGACCATTACGGTTCTTTTCAACCCGTAATGTGGGGTGCTTGTGCGCGAGGCAGACGGCCATCTCTTTGGTAGGCAACGGCTCGTTTGTCTCCGTTGTGCCCCTCGCCTGAATTTGTCTCCTATCCCTACCCCATTTTTTTTTATTATTCTTTTTTTTTTTTAGTGTAACAGAAAGTCCTTTGCGGGTATTACTAAAGACGCTACGGCCCATAATATGGAATCAACCTAAATAGAGATGGAACTATTTCCATTAAGTTGTGACATTACAGGCGGAAAGCAGTCCCACAGGGCTGGAGCACCGTGTGGTCCCGGAGTGCATGGCCGTGTCCGAATCACTTGGCTGCGGCTTGATATTACACACAAGTCTATGGCAGTGACATCATTCAAGTTTATGAAATTTGACATTTCTAGGTTCAAGATTCAAGATTTATTTCATTTCCATTTTGGTGGCGCCGTAACTGCCATAGCGCCACCTGGAGAGTATATTGTACAAACCATACCGCGGCGTACCGTCGATTGTCAACAATGTCATGATTGTACATGTTGTAAGTAGGCCTAAAAGTTCTTGAAATCATTATGCTATAGTATAGGCCTAGCTACAATTTAGCGTATTCTAAGCACCCTTCTAGGTTTCTGACCATATGTGTACCATGTAGGAAATAAATCTTTGGGGCATGTAGGCCTAACCATGGAGGTAGAAAAAGAATGGCCTAACCATGCCACTTGGTTGCAAGTTGCAACATGGAGGAATGTTTTTATTCCTCCACATGGTTGCAAGAGACCAACCGCTGTCATTGTTGTATATCGATACATGTTGTAGGGCCTATCGATAATTGAACCAATAAGTTAGGGCCTAGCTTAGCTACTACTCCGTCATACTCCGTGTGACTTCAAGCCAACACGGTTTACATGGTTTTGTAACACTATGGGGTTTGGAATCGAATTTTTGTCATGTTTATGGTGATATGGTTCACTAGCATATGACTAGGCGTAAGAAAGCTATCAACATTTCCCCTGTCAGCAAACCTGTTTAATTAATCTATACCTCCTAAAAAGCGGGATTAGGGCCTATCTGATAAAGTTTCCTAGCATGAGACAGAGTGTTTTTGAAAAAAAATGAGATTTTTGCTCACCAATTTCTTGCTTCCACCTGTTGACTGTCGCTCCTTTCCTGCCATTTGTGTTTATCAGACTGCGCACGCGTTGAGCCCACCAATGACCGCGCTTGCTCCGCACCTTGGTTCGACCATTTTCTGTGACGGAGGATTCAACTATTTTCTGTGACGGAGGATGACATCTTGTGTTGTTTTCATCTTGTCATGAATCATGTCTTGAACATTTGAATTGGGGCACAGGGATCAATTTTATTTAACAACTGAGACATATTTGGTGTCATTGTACATCAATTTTCTGACCGCATTTGGCAGTAGAATACACTCAGTAGCAAACTATGTAGTGTGCACTTCATCTGAAAGGGTATCCTCATTTGTTTGTAATTGAACTTCCCGAGTGCAAATAATGACAAATTAAAAATCCTCAATCCAACTCCATTGTGAAAAAAGTGAACATTTTGTAAGTTCTAAACTACAAATGTTCCTTGCCTCAAAGAAACATTAACATGTCCAGCATTTTAAGTTCAAATTGCCCATATTGAGGCACATATTGCTTGTGATTGGTACATGTAACTTAATCACTCGGGACAACGCCGACATGGTTGGTCACGGACATTGCTTGCAAAACACGTGCTGCAAGCCAGCCAACAATCCGTACATGTGCTGCAGGATGATCCTAAAGCTATGGTTAGGTTTGATATGCAAAGTTCTATTCACCCGGCATCCAGCACATGCGTAGGGACACAAGATACAAGTCAGCCCCAGTGGAACATAATTTCTCATTAAAAAATCTTTTGGGAGCCAAAGGAAAAGAAAACGAGAAAAAGGAAACATTCCACAAATAAATACATCTAGGATCCAGTTTAAAATGAAGATGTAGCTTTTGGGGGAAAGAAAAGAACAAAGGCTCCCTTGATTTGGAGCTGTTCCATTCATGTACTGTTCCATTCATGTACGGTTCCATTCATGTACTGTTCCATTCATGTACTGTTCCATTCATGTACTGTTCCATTCATGTACGGTTCCATTCATGTACTGTTGCATTCATGTACTGTTCCATTCGTGATTCAACACACTTAATAATCACCACACCATGCATTTGGTTGATAGATGCTAGAGTAACGAAACCATGTATTCATTTGCACTGTTCAATTTTTCATCAGTTGCTACATTTGGTATGTATGCTACTGTATAGCCCCTCACGCTACAGGAGTTATTGGTTGAAGTGTCATCGTTCAGTGTTTTATAAGGAAAAGCTTGATCTTCCAGGCATGCAGGATTTACCAGGCTTCAAGATCAGTGCCAAGAGGATGCAGATGTGTACATGGACTCATTCAACTTTTTGTCTTTCATCCTACCTACAGGAAGACAGAGTTGACAAACAGCTGCTTTATATCTTGGATATGATGGAATCTAATTCATGGAAAACCTAGGAGAGTAGATACCTTCCATTCCAAGTGCAGAAAGATCAACATGAGAACAAAATAAGTATTGTGACATGCTTGTTAGCTCGTGGGAGTCCGAGGTGAAAGAATGTCTTCCCCCGTGGAAGGTGCTGACCTCTTGAAAAGTTCAACAGGAACCCACATCTCGGAGATTGCCTCACTTGGGAGACCAGTACATATACAGGGAACAATTGAGGTGGATCAGCCGCCGTGCATTGAACAGGCCAGTGCAGCTCTTCAACCAGATGTCGACAACTGTAGTCTACCAGGAGGCAGCCATCAGCTTGAGGCATCGTGTAGCCAGACCAGCCAAGATAGGCAACAATCAGAAAACAGCAGTGGAATGTTGCTCCCTGCATCTTCAAGAACAGATGCAGCGGTTGCATCTGACAGGAGATACGGCAAAAAGAGAAACCGCCCTAGTGAGCCTGAAGAACAAACTTGCAAAAGGACTAGATTACGCTCATCACAGCAGAGAGGGAGAGATCGAGAAGTACAGTCGTATCAAGCGCGTACATCCAAACCACACACTAGGAGGGTTAGGTCAGAGAAAGAACCTGTAAAGTGTACAGAAGAAAGTAGTGAAATAACTAGGAAACATTCCAGCATTGCGTTAGAGGGCCAGAGAGAGGTTATGATTGGATCTGTGGGAAGTACCTGTGAAGGTGATGAGGAATCCCATGAGGAGTGTGACAAGGAAGCCAATGAAGAACAGGTTGAATGCCCAGCCAGAAATGAAGATGGAGACAGAAGAGCAAGGAGAGGCCGGCAGAGACGAGGACGTGGCCAGGGGCGGGGACGTGGCCAGGGGCGGGGACATGGCCAGGGACGGGGACAAGGGCGTGCCCGAGGACGTGGGCGGGGACGAGGGCGTGGCCGAGGACGTGGGCGGGGACGAGGGCGGGGGCAAAGCCAATATGCAAACCGAGCAGAAAGTGGTAAGTCTGAAGCCTTTAGCTACTAGCTATTAGTTGTAGTGCACATCAA